GGGGGCAGGAGGGGTGTGACCCGCTTCGGGAGGGCGGAGAGTGGGCCGGGGGTCTGGGCAGGCCCGGCCGTGCCTCCCACTCTGCTGGGGGGGCCCAGGCAGGAAGCGGTGGGTGGGCCAGGGCAGAGACGCTGGCACGCCCGAGTTCATGCCGAAGGAATTCCGAATTAGCGGGCGGCTGGCTGCCTGGGACCTCCAGGGCGGCCCCCTGGCCCCCCGCCCCCGCCTCCTCGGCTCTGGCCCGCTCAGCCGGCTCCTTCGCACGGACGCCGAGACCTCCGGCGAGCCCTGGGCCAAGCCCCAAGCCCAACTGCTATCCCAGGCTCCAGCAAGACGGAGCCCTGGAGCCAAGTTTGCCCCGGAAAATCGTCAGGGCCGGGCTGGAGCGCCGTGTCCACCCCATCTCGTCCATCTGGGGCAGCCGCTGGCATTCAGAAAGCCTCCCAGGGGGCCAGGATCACCCTGTCCTTGGCCACCATCTCCCCTGCCCCCTGTTGTCCCTTCCCCCAGCCGCCCGGGGAGTCCTTTTAAATGCAAAACTAACCTCATCCCTCCCTCCCCTGCTTGGAACCCTGGAATGACTCCTCCCTGCAGGATGGGGTCCCTGCTGACCTCCTAGACCTCGGATCCCACCACTTCTGCCCCAGGGCCTTTGGACTTGCAGCTTCCACTGCCAGGATACTCTCCTAGTTATTTTCATAGTTACTTCTTTTTGTCAAAGACCCGGTTCCAATGTCATTTCCCTAAGACAGGCCTCCCAGGCTATTCCCTCACTTTCTCCCTTATTCATTCTCTTAGATATTCATTAATTTTTGTTTTCCTGCTACCTCCTTGGATTGAAGTCCCCCAAGGGCAGGAATTTTGTGTGTTTTGGTCATCACCATGGTGCCCACAGATCCTGGTACCTGTAGATGCTCCATAAATGAATGAATGAATGAACCAACAGGTGAATGAGGCCCCTTGCCAGAGGCTCATAGAAGTAAAGACACTAGGTCAAGCTTCCACAGTGAGCTCGGAGCATTTGAATCCAGGTCAGCCTGTCATAAATGTCCCAGCTGATTGTCCTTAGACAATACTTTCACTCCTCTCAAACAGCCTCATGTGGTTGATACTGTGATGCCCACTTCTCAGATGGAGAAACTGAGACTCAGGCTTCAGAGGATTGGACTGTGTCTCTGCTTCCCTTTCTCTGGACCTTGGCTTCACCATGGGAAGAATCAGGTCCTTTTTTTTTTTTTTTTTTTTTTTTT